GGCTGCCCCGACACCCACTGGCCAGGAGCACCTCCCGGTGGGCTGCCCTGCAGGGTGGGCTTCAGGGGGGCCCACTGCACACTCCTGCTCCCCAGCTGCCCGCTGGGCCTCTGGCCTCCAGGGCTGCCACATGTGTGTCTGGTTGCGGCGCTGCAGGGCCCGAGGAAGGAGACTGCGGCCCTCCTGACCCCTCTGGACTCCAGCCCCCGAGTGGCCCCACAGCGACGAACCCTGACCCCTGCACCCCGAGCTGTGGCTGACACTTGGCGCAGCCCAGCCTGTGTCCAGGGTGCTCAGAGCCGCGGGAGGGAGGCAGAGGCCGGCGCTCAGGGTCTCCATACCGACTGCCTGGCACCCCGACGCCCACTGCCAACATTGCAGTGTCCAGCGCCCTGACTCTCCAGCAGCCCGACTGACCAGCACCCCAACTGACCAGTGCCCTGACTGACCAGCACTTTGACTGTCCAGCACCCTGACCAGCACCTTGACTGATCAGCGGCGCGACTGACCAGTGCCCCGACTGACCAGTGCCCTGACTGACCAGCACCTCAACTGACCAGTGCCCCAACTCACCAGTGCCCTGACTGACCAGCACTCTGACTGTCCAGCACCCTGACCAGCACCTCGACTGACCAGTGCCTTGACTGATGAGCACCTTGACTGACCAGCGCCCCAACTGACCAGTGCCCTGACTGACCAGCGCCTCAACTGACCAGTACCCCGACTAACCAGCATCCTGACTGACAAGAGCCTCAACTGACCAGTGCCCCGACTGACCAGCGCCCTGACTGACCAGCACTCTGACTGTCCAGCCCCTGACCAGCACCTCGACTGACCAGTGCCTTGACTGATGAGCACCTTGACTGACCAGCGCCCCAACTGACCAGTACCCCGACTAACCAGCACCCTGACTGACCAGAGCCTCAACTGACCAGTGCCCTGACTGACCAGCGCCTCGAGTCCTGGCAGGGCCCGACAAGTGCCCAGCATCTCCCTCTCCCACCCCAGCCCAGCGATGGCTCCCTGAGCACAGTCAGGCCTGGGCTGCTGGTGGAGTAAGGGACCCGGGTCTCACGTCCAGCATCTCCGACAGGGACCCCAGGGGCTCGCAGCGCCAGGGCCACCCAGGCCACCCAGCCCTCCCAGACACTCGCCTCATCGGGAAGGTCCCAGCTGTGGGTGGGCCCGAGGGCCCCCATTTTCCCGGGCTGTGGGGAGCGGGCTCTGCATCGGACACAGAAGACGGTTAAGTTCGTTCACAAACGCCCGCTGGACCACGCTCTTCCGGGGCTGCTGGGATCGATGGGAAACTAGAGGCCATGGAGATGCTCGGTTCGAGCAGCAGGGACGGCGCGAGGGGCCTGTCCACGGGGGCCGCGCCACACGGCAGCCAGCACTGCCCCGGCTCCTCCTCGGCCTCTCCCTGTGCTGATGATGACGGCCATGGAGGACCCGGGGCGGCAGCCCCCGCCCTCTCCGCTCTGGCGACTGCCCCCTCAGAGCCGGCACAGGACGCAGCACCCGCGGCAGCCCCTCGCCAGCTGGCCGGCCTCCCCGGAGTCCAGCCCTGTAGCCTGGCGGCGCTGCCCAGTTACTCCGGCTGCACCTGCGGGTCCTCAACTCTGGATTTCGGTTGTCAGAAGAAATGGCAGCGAGTCACAGGGGGCCGCTCCAGGCAGGGCAGCCCCTGGACACCCCAACAAGGCCCTGCGCACGCCCGGCAGTCCGGCCCCTGCACTCCCGGCGTACACCGAGAAAGTTTCCGATGGCTTCGCCGGTTTTTAAGAAACTCATCAGCAAACCAGCAGGACTAAAGGCCAAAGCCCGTCCTGAGATAAGTGTGGCCTCCCACAGGCCCAGAGAGGGCGGCGCGGGCAGCGCCCACAGACCTGCAGGGGTCTGCATGAGGCGGCCGGGAGGAGAGGGACCCCAGCCTGCTGGGCCCCAGGCCCCTCAATTGGCCCCACTAAGGGACACGAGGCCAGCGGCAACTGCAGCCGCCAACTCCGGCCCTGCCCCGGAGCCAGCCGTGAGCGCCCGCAGGAGGCTGGGGGCCGAGCCTGCAGCGGAGGCCAGGGGTCACGCCAGCCCTTCACCTCCCTTTGCTGAAGGTGCCCCACGCCCTCGGGGTGGATGCAGCCACCAGGAGGTGGCAGCTGTGGAGGGGGCGGGGCCGGCCGCGACTTCCTGGCCGGAGGCGTTGGAGAGGCCCCTCAGGACAGCTGAGAACTCGGTTATTTATACCGGTGAGCGGTGCCATATCTGGGCGTGAGCGGGGCCTGCCAGGGACAAGGCCAGCGCCATCTGTCCTGAGTGTCCTTCAGCCCCCAAGTCCCCACTGTCCCCGCGAGAGGCCCCTCTCGCCCTCGCCCACCACGGACTCCACGGGGCTGCCCACCTGCGCCTGGAACTCCGCACAGCAGGACCATGGGCCCCGAGGTGGGGCTGGACCCTGCGTCCTGCGGGCGTCCCACCCAAGACTCTCCCCTGCCTGCAGGCCCCGCTGCCTGGCCACAGCTCTCAGCCGGCCACCGTGCAGGGTGGTGCTGCAGACCCCACACAGGCCACCCGAGCACCCAAGTCTCCTCCCTCGGGGCCTTTGGGGACGCCTGAGGCCTCAGTGGGGCTGACTGAGCACAGAGCTGCGTGTCTCGCACCCCAGGAGGCCGGCCCTGTGCCCCTCAGCATCCGCGCCCGCGACCACCCGCACACATGCAGCCTCGCACCACCCAGCACACGCGCACTCACCAGGAATGTGCTTGCATGCGGACACACACTCGTGTAACACTGGCTGGGTGCATGTGTGCACACACACATTCACACGTGTGTGCACACGTGCACAAATGCTCGCGCATGCTTGCACATGCCCACATACGTGTACACACGCGCCCTCACAGGTCCATGGCACACTCCCAAGGCACACACACCCACGCTTGTGTGCCTGCATGTGCAGCACCCAGACTCAGGCGCACACGCTCACACATGGCCCGTGCTGGTCCCCACACGCAGCTGTGCACGTGCTCGCAGGTTGGCCTCACACACGGCCACACGAGCGCACACACTGCCCGCACCCTGCCCCTGCCCTGCGCGCTCCGCTCCCGAGGGTGGAGGCTTCCCAGCAGCCGGGCAGAACAGGGTCCGCACCAGGGGGGGAGGCACGGACACCCCTCAGCCGGGGCGGCGCTTCCGGGGTGCCCTGGAGCCCAGTGAGCTCCGGCCAGGGCCTCCTGCTCCCCCAGGGCACCTGCCCGTCTGGCCCCACTTGGCAGACAAGCCCCTGGGGGTCCCTCCTTGCCCGCAAGGCCCCAGCCCCCTGCTGGGCCTCCCCAGGCCTCGTGGGCAGGGAGGGGCCCCCAGTGGCCAGCGTCAGGGCTGGCGAGGGACAGGAACTCAGGCCCACCAGCCCTGCCCCTCTCCCCTGCCCCACATCCTGCCAGCACAGCGGTCTGCGGCCGGAGCTGGAAGCCAGCGGGCACAGGTGACCTTCCGGGGACACACACGGCCCGCCGCCCGGCGCCCGGAGGCTGGAGGACGACTGTGCGAAGGGCCCGAGCTCTGGGAAGTGTCCCCCCGCCTCACCCCTGCGGGACGAGTGCTCCCGAGCCCTTGCTCCTAACAGGGGGTGAGTGCTCCCCGCCCCCCTCGCCTCCTGCCAAAGCAGCAGCAGACTGGGGGCGGGGTGGGTGAGGAGGAGCCCGGCCCTGGGTGAGGGAGGGCGGGGGCAGCAGGCCCGGGCCCAGGGGCAGTGCCTCCTCCCAGAGCCCCCGGGACAGCCGCACTCACCCTGGGGCCAGGCAGCCGCACTCCGGGGGGCCTCCGAGTCCACCCTGGCCGCTGTCCAGCGACATGCGCTCCCTCCTCGGTGCCTGTCCATGCGCCTCCGGGGCCCCTCTCCTCGTCCACTCGCCCCGCGGGGGGGCCTCCACTTTCCTCGGCTTCCCCGAACCGTCCCTCTGCCGGAGCGGCCCGTGCGGGACCGGCTGCCCTGACCGCCCTGCCGCAGTCAGCACAGTGCATATTTAATGGACGCGGGACGTTCCCTGCTGCTGACCTGGCAGAGCGTCAGCCGCGCCCGAGCGGGGCCTGGAGCGAGGCCCGGCCTGGGACACACACTTCCTTACATTCCATAGCTCAGCAGCTCCGTATGGGCCTATAAAGAAGCGTGTGCCCCAAGCAGGGGTCCGGCCACTCCGCCTGGGGCCCGGGGCCTCGTCCACCCCTCGCCCTCGGTCTGCCCACCCGCCTCCACCGCGGTCCTGTGGGTTCCCTGGCCGTGCGCGCGCCCACACACTCACACATGCACACGGGCCTCAGACTGGCCCTGCCCCCACAGCTGGTGAGTCGGGACCCCCAGGAGCAGGGGGACACCACGGTCCCCAGGACAGTCCAGACAGCAGCGGTGGTGCTTACCTGGGAGGCCGCAGTTCCTGCAGACGTGCTGGCCCGGGCTCCTGGCCACTCTCCGCCGGGCGCAGGCGAGCTCAGCTTGGCCCAGAGAGGCCTGTCTCCAGCCGGCCACCGCGTCCGCCCTCTCCTGCACCCCGCCTGTCCCTCTGGACAGCCCTCCGTGGCCAGTGCCTCACTGGCTCTTCGGCGCCGGGATCAATATCACTTCCGGTCACGCACAGGGTCGCTTCCTGTCCACGATTTCCCGGGATGCGCCCGCCGGGGGCTCAGCAGACTTGGCACTTTGTGGAACGTCACGGGCGCCGCCTTGTCCTGAAACTTGCTGGACACATCTCGAGGGGACTCAGCCCACCCGGTCTGAGCAGAGGGAAGGGATGGCCCTGGTGGGGGTGGCGCCACGGCCGAGGCCACCAAGGCCAAAGTGAGCCGGCGGCGGGCGCGGGCGCTGGGGGGCTGGGCAGGAGGTGGCACCACTGAAGGTTGCTGCGGCCCCTCCAGCGCAAGGCAGCGCCCGCCCGCCCGCCGCACCACTTCCCGCTCCTGCAGTCGCCAGGCAAGGCTGGGCGGTGGCCGCAGCCCCTCCCCACCCCCACTGCAGGGGCTCCCGGCCAGCCAGTCCAGAGAGGCGGCTGGGGTTGGCCTGAGCGGCGGAGCTGCCCTTCAGAGGGCCGAGCGGGCCCTGAATGCTGAGAGGTGTCCGCAGGCCCAGGTCCACGCTGCTGTCCCACGTCATCTCAGTGGAGCTGAGGATGAGGAGGGACAGGCACAGCCCTTGTCCTGGACACTTCCAGCCGCGCCCTGGGCTCTCTCCTGGACGAGCTCCTGAGCGCTGGGTCCCAGGAAAGCAGAACCCCGAAGGGCAGCCTTGGCCGCCCTGCGCCGCGCCCCACCGCAGGAAACAGTCCTCCAAAGTTCTCCAAGGTGCACTGCAGCCCGGGCTCCCCCGACCGGGCTCCTCCTGGAGACCCCCGCTCTGCACACGCTCTGCACACGGGGGGCAGCCTGCCCCCGCAGCCCGGAGCCCCTAAGTTCCCCGGTGGTGCAGACGTGCTGCCTCTGCCCGGCTTTGTCACGGCTGCAGGGTCCTCCGGCGCCTCCGAGCGATCCCGCGAACGCGCGTGCCAAAGTTCCCGCAGCAGCCGGAGCGCCGCGCCCGCAGCCGGCCGGAGCCCTGCGCCCCGCGCGCCCCGCTTCTCTCGCGCCCCGTCCCCACGCCCCGAATCCCGCGCGCCCCGCGCCCCGCGCCAGGAGCCCCGGGCCCTCCTCCCCCGCGCCCCGCGCGCCCCGCTCCACGCGCCCCGAGCGCCCCGCGCCCGAGCCCCGCAAGTTCGGGGCGTCCGCGCGGGACTCACCGCAGGGCGCGGGCGCGGCGCTGCAGCACGGCCGCCACATGCACTTTCTCGGGAGCCAATCGCGACTGCGGCGGTGGGGGCGGCCGCGCTCCCAGCAGGGCGAGCGCAGGCGGGATCACCCCCTTCCGCACTGGCCCTTCCCCCGCGCCTGCAGCCGCGCGCGCGGAGCCGGGGGGAGGGAGCGCGCGCGGGCGCTGCGGAGTTGCGGGGAGCTGGCGCCCGCACACCTGGGCCCCGCCCGCAGCGGCTCCTGCACCGCGGGTCAGCGCCAGGTGGAGGTCAGTGGGAAACAAAGGGGCCGCGCCAGGACACGCGGCTGCGGGGGGCGGGGAGGGCGGGCCGGACCCGATGGGGCGCGGGCTCACCTTTGCAGCCCTTTATACCCCCACAAGCATCCCAAACACGCGGCGGCGAGTGGCCCCCTCGGCCCAGCTCCCTGACCATATATAGTCAGGCAGGGGAAGAATAGCCGCGCGGCCGCGGGAGGCCCAGCCAGGCCCGTGTGCGGCTGTCCGCGCCCCACGGGGGCCACTGCCCCTCCCGGTCCCCCAGGGCTGCCCTGCCTCGCCCTGCCACCCCCCGGCTATTCTTAGCTCCGCCAGCCCAGAGGACTCCTGGCAGACCTGGGAGATCCGGCAGCTGCCGGCACCTGGTCTCGCGGGGCCGCCGGGCGCTGGGGCCCTGGCTTTGCCCTTTCACCCAGAATTAGGTCCTGGTCAGGTGGGGGCAGCCGGTTCCGGAAGCCCGGGCAGCCCAGAGCAGGGCCTGGGGTCACCTTGCTCATCCCTGCCGCAGGGGGAGGGGACCCTGGCACTCCTGTGCCCGTCCTGTGCTCACCCTGAGAACCACAGGTCGGGGGCACACGCTGACCCTCGGACAGGAGACCCTTCGACTTCCTGCGTGGCCCGGGCGTCCCCGTCCCGTCCCACACTGCCTGCAGGCGGGTGCAGCGTTGGGGCACCCCAGGCCCAGCCCGAGGCTGGTGGCCAGGTGGCTCCGGAGGTAGCACAGGGGGCCCAAGACAGGAGGCCAGGCGGCAGCACAGCACGGCCAGGCCCTGTCCCTCGCGGCCTGTCCACTGCGTCCTGCTATCCTGCCCCCAGCCCGCCAGAAGAAGGGGAAGGTGACAGGGAGTCATCAGACCTCAGATGGCAGGAGGGAGGCACCTTCAGTGACTCCAGGAGGGTGCACAGCCATGAGTCACGCCGAGAACCAGAACTGACAGAGTTGAACACGGCACATGGTACATACACGCATGCATACACTGAACACAGCCCACACAGTACATACACAGTACACAGCACACGCATACACACAGCACACATACAGCACACAGCACACACAGCATACATATGATACACACAGCACACAGCACACTCACTCACAACGGTAAGGCGGGGTGGAGGGGCGTCCCTGGGGTCCCGGGCAGGGACAATGAAGACAGGCAGCCATGCCGGCCCCGTCCCACCTTCAGACTCAAGGAGGCCCTGGACGCAGCTCCGAACACAGACCCCCTCGGGACAGGAGCACAGATAGAGCAGTGGACGCTGCTGGTCGAGCTGACGCCGATGCCCCCTGGAAGCCCAGCAGGGTGTGCCCTGGAGGGAGATGGCCCGCGGCCCCCCAGCCCCCATCTCCCTGAAGTCCACAAGGCACATGCATGCTCACCACTGACTGGCCTGGGCTCGGCCTGGGCTGACCATGGTAGGGGGAACCCGCCTCACCCAGGCTCAGCTCCAGCAGCACGGCTGGGCCCCGAGCCCCGCCAGGAAGGAGGGCAGCCAAAGAACACAGCCTCCTTCCCCCCGAGGCAGGGAGCACTGAGAAAGGGAGTCCTGGACGAGGAAGGTTCTGGAAGAAGAGGCCTGCTGCGGTCAGAGGCTGGGAGGTGAGCTGGGAGGAGCATTGCTGGGCCCGGGGTGGCCAGGGCTTGGAGGACACTCAGCCATGCTCCTGCCCCCAAACTAGTGACTTCCTGAGGGGGGCAGGGTCCCGCCTGCACAGGGAGGGCAGCCACGCCTCAGAGCCCAGGGGGGCCCCGCCGGGGCCAGTGGCCAGTGAGTGACCCCTCGAGAAGCAGCCAGGAGGGCGCAGTGAACACCCCCTTCTGCAGAAATAGGGCAGCGGGCAGGCGGGCTGCCTGGCCGCTGAGGAGGGGGCTGGGCAGGGGAGGCGGGTCGGACCAGCGTGTGGGGACACAGACACAACGTGACGTGGTGTGGCGTGACGTGGTGTGATGTGACGTGGCCGGTCCAGCAGCAGGAAGAAAATGGGCACGGGTGTGTCTGCGCATCGGCCCCGGGGCAGTGGCGGAGCGCATGACCGGGACAGCCCGGCTCCAGCTCAGCAGCTCCCAGGGGCCTCCAAGAGCCTCGAGGCCGGAGACTCAGTGTGGCCACGGGCACGTGGGGGCTTCCCAGAGGCTGGGGCCCCAGGCGGGGGTCCTGGGGGTCCTGGGGCCCCGGGCCTCGTGCTGGGTGGGGGAAACATGCCTGCAGGACATCAGACCAGGTCATCAAGCCCGAGGGTCCTGCCCCGCCCCTGGGCCTTCCCACGTGCCCTCATGATCCCGAGAGGGTGGCCCAGCTGGACCCTGCGTGGCCCTGCCCAGCCCAGTGCCTGCCGCGAGCGCCGTCCCCAGCAGGCTCTTGGCGCTGGGTGTTAGGCTTGTTGGTTGTTCTGGGTGGTGCTCGGGGCCGACTCCTGCCAGGCTCGGAGCTGGAAGCAGCTGACGCGCCCCCGGTCGGCCGACGCCCACCTGAGCCTCACGCCAGCCTGTCTCTTGACCGAGAAACAAGAGCTCAGGGAGCGCAAGTCGGGGGCCCGGCTGGGTGTGGCCCCTCTGCGGCCAGTCTGCTCAGGGGCTGACAGGCAGGGCAGTAAGGCGCCATCTACCTTGGAGCCTGTGGCCGGGCCCTGCCCCTCCCGCCACCCGCCGAGACCCCCTGCGCCTCCCGCCACCCACTGAGGCTGCTCTGTCTGTGTCCCGAGCCCGCGTCTGCAGGGGCGTTGGCCCTGAGGCTCGGCCATCTGGCACCTGCTGGCCCCGCTCCTCCGGACCCTACAGGGACACACCCATCCCGGGAAAATGGCTCCCTTCCCGCACGAGACTGGGGCCTGGACCAGGGACACTCTGGGGGGTCTCAGTCACAGGGCACCCCCGGGATTCTGCACACTGGACCCCAGTTCTGTGGATGTGGGGGCTGAGCCCCCCGCTGCCTGAGAAGGAGGGTGGGCTGGGCCAGCCTAGGGCAGTGAGACGGGTCAGTCCACGGCCACAGGACGCCTGCTCCCCTGCGCCCGCCAGCCACAGGAGTGACACAGACAGGAGGGCTGCCCGGCAGCACTGCCGGCGTGTGGCCTGTCCCGTGGCCCCAGCAGGCTCAGCGCAGGTCCCAGGCCCCTCACCGCCCCACCCCTCCTGCCTGGAGCCTGAGCTCTGAACCCTCCCGAGGCCGCTCCCCTGCCCACCGCAGACAGCTGGGGGTCCTTCCTCTGGCGTCCGTCCGCGTGCCTCCACCCCCGGCAGAACTTGGGGTGACCTTGAGAGCCCGGCGGGGGCGGGCCTTCGCTGCCAGCAGGAACCTCCCACGATCTCCTCACAGCGGCAGCAGCTGCCAGGGAGCATCGATCCGGGCTGGGGGCTGGCCCCTGCCTCCAGGCTGGCCTCCATCTGCACCCACCAGGCCAGGGCAGAGGCGGCGGGGCCGGCTGTGGGGTCGGGACGTCCTTGATCCCTGCTTTAGCCCCACTCCTCAGCCCTCAGCACCTGGGACAGGCCTGGGGCGGCCCCGGGCCCTGCCCTCCCTGCAGGGCGCCTTCACCGGCCACGGCTGCTCCTCTGAGCCAGAGCTGGCCTGCCTGCCCCCGGCCCCCATGGATCCTGGTCCCAGAGCCCAGCCTGTGGCGAAAGGGCTCCTTGCACCCTGGCAGGGCCCTGCACCCACAGACCAGTGTGAACACCGCCAACCCTCCCCCCACAGGGCCCAGGAGGGGCCAGGACAGGGCCAGGAGGGCTTCCTGCAGGAGGAGGCAGCCGCCCCTGAGTTAGTCCTCAGCTCTCTGGGCCCTGGGGAGGCTTGTCGGGTCAGGAGCAGGAGCTGGCTCGGCAGAGGCACCTGTGTCCACACAGCCCAGCGGCACCTCCAGCTGGCCCTGGGGTGTCCGGCTCGAGGGCACTGCCCGGCCACTGGGGAGGCTGACCTCAGGCCGGCCCAGCCCCAGCACCTGCTGCCTGGCCCAAGAATAGCCTCCACGGAGCCGAGCAGAGAGCACGCGGGAGCCGAGCACAGGGCCCGCGGCCCCAGCAGGGGGACAGCTGCTGGGCAGCCCTGCCCAGAGCCTGCCGTGACCTCCCTCCTGCACCCTGAAACTCGCATCCTTCACCCTGAACCCCTGCACCATGCACCCTGCACCCTCTACCCTGCACCCGGCACCCTGTACACTTCACCCCTGCACCCTGCACCCCCACACCCATGCCTCCAAACCCCAGAACCAGCAGGTCAGGTCGAGCCTGGCCATGCCCTGGATGGCCGTGAACCCCTCGCCCACACCCCGCAGGGCCCTGTCTGTCCATCTCCTGCCCCCAAAACACCGTCACACTCACCCGCCGTCTCCTCAGCCCAGGCCTGAGATCAGCCTCTCCCCACTGGGCCCCCATTGCCACCCCAGGGGTCCCTGGGTGAGATCAGTGGCCGGTGATGAGCCTGTGGGCTGGACAGATGGACAAACAGTGCTGGGAGCTGCTGCGTCCTTCCCTGGGCAGCCCGGGAGCCACAGGGATGGACACAGAGGACCGCAGGAGATGGCCCCCAGAAGCCTGCGGGGGGCCGTGGCCCAGGGCACCCCACACACCTTCAGGGTCGTGAGGCCTCGGGGCAGCTGCGGGACAGCCCTCCCTGCCCTCTGTCCTTGGTCTGAGGCAGCAGGCCCAGTATGGGCAGGACCCAGGGGACCCCCTGTCCTCTGGCTACTTTCTCGCAGTGCCCTCTAGGGCCCGTGGGGCATGGAAGGGATGGCCTGGGTGTCCGTGTCCTGCAGAGGGGCAGGCAAGGGCACCAGGCAGCTATTTAAAGACAGGCTGGGACAGGTGTGGTGGGGGAAGGGCACTGGACACTCCCTCATGAGTCTGGGTGGCGAGGGGACAACGGTCAGTGCTGGCCATGAGGACAGCCCGTGGTCAGCCTTCCTCCAT